TGGCTGCTATAGCCTTTCAGTGGGAGCTTCAGGTAAAGTGGGGTCAAGTGTCTTGTCTAAGGACGCAATGACAGCAGACGTCGGTGGGATTCGGTGGAGAAGGTCTCGTGGTAGGATCGAACCCACAACCTTTAGGCTCAAAGGCCAATGCTCTACCAACTGATCCACTATCGCCCCATATAATAACCTGATACTTTTAATGTTGACGGTGGTAAGTCTATTTGACCATGTGTCTTTATGCGTAGGAAATAGTCCAATCCTTCTTAAGTGAAGGAGGTTGAGCATCTCTGGGTCTTGTTGATGAGTGAGGGAAGGATAGAGAGTGAGATTGACAGGTAGATGCAGCGTGTGCAGGGATTCGGTGTCTGCCTCGTTGTGGTGAAGAGCGAGCAGCGACTGCACTCAGAGCTTTGTAGGACTGTTGAGGTGAAGAGGGAGCTGAGTGGAAAGGCAAAGCTCTCGATTCATCGGCCATTTCTACGTCCCCTCCCTCACCTCGGGTTATGAGCTTTGGGAAAAGAAAGGAGATGAGATGAGATTGTGGATAAAGCAGATCAAAATGAGTTTCTTCCGAAGAGTGGGTTAGCACAGTCCATTGGAGATAGGGTGAGGAGTTCAGTCACACGGGAGGAGCTCGGAGTAGAGCCACTGCTTCTCCATGTCGAGAGGAACCAGTTGAAGTGGCAGAAACAGTCAAACGCCTGCGGGAACGCCTCTCTCGGGAATCATCTCTCTCAGCTGCCCCATGGAAACACCCCCACGACCCGAGAACAGATAAAACGAAAGAAAATGAATAAATGTTTTAGTCAAATTATATAGACTGCGACTATGAATAAAACATCAACTTTTTGTGCAGTAAAAGTTTGACATGAATGCATTTATTTCTCGTATGGGGCGTTGGGTATCTAATGAGATTATGTCATGAAGTGTCAGAAAAGCGCAGCAGCTCTGACGTGTGACAGCTTTGCTATCTCAGCCTTGAGTTTAGATCACAGATTGATTACATTGTCTGCGTCTCCTTCCTCTGAAGCCTGATCTCCTCTGCGTCCTGTACATCTCATTTGATTTTTATGAAGGTTGATCCGGGGCGTCTGGCCACAGTCTGTCATCTCACGTGACACCTCATCTGAACCCCCCCCTCCCTCTGCCCTGTCCCGTCTCGTCCAGGTCCCTTATGTTCGGGGATGAAACCTACACCTATGCATTCCACCGCGCCGAAATGTACGCAGATGCAAGACGGCTCCATGACATCCCAATGACACGGCTGCCGCAGTTGTGCTCTTAAATTTCTCCAATCTCAATCGCACTCATAAATAGTGTCCTGACTCTGAGACAGCTGGTTTTTCAATGCAAGAGGCCATCTACAGATAATAGTTTTCACGGATTTTCCAGGCTCTCTGCTGTCTCTGCTCACAGTGGACACCAGGAAGCAGGTAGCTGTTCGATCCATCTTGTGAGGAGTCCCACAGAGAAGCAGCGACGGGACAAAGACAGCACATTTATCATGATTGTTGACACTCACGGCCTGTTGTTTCACGTTGGTTCATGTGAAGTGGCTCTATTATGGTTTCGGACACGCCCTTCAGGGGAACTGGGGCATGTTTTGGAATGGGAAGAACATATTGTACATGTTAAGGACCACATGGATGCTTTGGTTTTCAAGACGAGAGATTTATGTCTCACTAGGTCTTTGGGAAGATGGATTATAATACATTCCATAAAACATATAATCTCTATATATTTTTAAATGTAAATAGATGAAGAAAAAAAATCACTAAAAACACAAATGTTACATATGAACTGTATAATATTTATATATAGATTACTTCTCAGAAAAAAATATGTTTAATCAAAAAGAAGTTCTCCTGCATGGATTTGCAATACAAACAGACTATCTTCAGACTTGTCAAATTATAAAATATTTGATTACTATTTACATTGATATATATTTCATTCCTACTGAAAGATAATAATAATCATTTGTTTTTATCAATTTGTTTGGCATTTTTTTCTTATGTGTTTTTGCAGTGCTTTTACTGTGGTCCCTGCCTTTGGGTACTTTTGCACAATGTATTATACTACAATACAAATACATTGAATCTTAAATCTGATCTAAGCATAAATATATCTTATTCATTGCATGTGTACGGTGAGTTGAGTGTTTGTTTATTTAGACTTCAATGTACATCAAACGTTATTATCAAATGTCACCACATAGAATTTTACAATTAACATGAGAAAAAATTATTTCATGTATTGAACATTGATTTTGGACATTTGCGTGGGTGTGTGGGCTTGTGTGTGTGTCTGTGTGTCCAGTGTTGAGTGTGTGTGTGCGTGAGTGCTTACCAAAGCAGAGGGAAAATTATTAATAACCCTTTTCTTACACAAACACATCTTTTTACATACATATTTAGTATTATTTTACTTTATTGTAAAATATTACCAAATGTGTATGTAAAAAGGTGTGTATTTAAATCATCCATTCTTACCAATCTTTGCCCCTAGATTCTCTTCCTTTTTTACAATTGACAGAGAAAACTGCTGTTGTGATTTTGGGCTCTACAAGAATAAATTGAATTGAATTGAATGGAAAATATTATCGGACCTAAAAACATCATAAATACAGAACAATACAGATCCTGACAGCACACTTGTTGGATTCTCCCATTAACAGTTTTTGCATATTCCCCTGTATCCCACGGCCCTCTTCCACCCTCTTCCACCCTCTTCCACCCTCTTCCACCCTCTTCGGCCCTCTTCGACCCTCCGTCTTTGGCCCTCTGTCTTCAGCCTTGGCCTTGGGGTCGGCTGCAGCTGCTCCGGTCTCATGTGTTTGCCAACATCGTCCACACACAACTCTGATCACTCAATTCTGCTCTGTCCAAATATTTCACACTGTTTCCATAACGGCGCCCAATCACCGGAATCCCCACCGCATCTCTTATTCATTCGCCTCATAAATTATTCTCCCTCTTATGAGCCCCAGTCACGTAACAGGGAAGAAGGAGACTTTAGGCCAGGATCTCACAGAGGTGCAGAAGTGTAGTTAACAGAAGAGGTCAGTGGTCAATAGGATGCAGAAATGAGCTGTTTCACTTTAAATACCTCAGACATGATTCCATTGTGCATTCAGACAGACAGGTGGGGTCAGAGAAGGGCAAGCTGCTGTTCAGCCTACAGTCATAAAGGTTTGTGCTTTTGTTTTAAAATAATATAGAGTCATGCACTATAAATTGTATGTTCAATTGTATAGCAGCATAATAATAATCATTAAGTAGCAAAGTAGCAGGTAGGTCTCTAGCTAATCAGATACATGGAGGCCATTTGAAATCATATACAACAGGGGTCTCCAACCTGTCGCTCGGGAGCCACCAGTAGCTCGCAACCCACTGTGGCTTGCCAAAGGATTTAGAAATGAGCAAATCCAAAAATGAACTTCAGATTTTATTATTCATTATCATTATTATTATTGTAAATGCACTTACTTTGTAGCACTTATTATCACATAATTGTTACAATAAGTAAGAAATGTTTATTTATATAGCGCATTTTACAGACCAAGATCACCCAAAGCGCTTTACAATGTTCAGATATTGTTCCAATCATTCCACACACGGTGATGACAGAAGCGAGTCCAGAACACACTGGACCATCAGCTCCAACACCATCCATTCACTCTCTCATTTACAATCATACCTACTATGCATGTTTTTAGTGGTAGGGGAAACCGGAGCACCCGGAGGAAACTTACGCAGACACGGGGAGAACATGCAAACTCCACTCAGAAAGGCCCCGTTCTGACCGGGATTCGAACCCAGGACCTTCTTGCTGAGAAGCGAGAGTGCTATCCGCTCAGCCACTGTGCCACCCATTATGACTGTACCCAATATCAGGCTTGTTCACACCAATATATCACCAAGTTTTTCCCATGGACGCTTAAAGGAGTAGCTCTCTGCCTTTATCGTCCCGGGAAAGTAGCTCTCTGGGTGAAAAAGGTCGGAGACACCTGATCTACATGCAAACCTGTAACCCTAACCCGCACAGAGTCAAAAGAACATTGTAGAAATGTGTTCAAATTTGTTTTTTGGCCCTCTGATGTATTTGACTTTGAAATCCCTGATCTAGCCTTTTCAAAACGGTTTTCCTTGTGTGTGGAAAAATACAACATCTCAAATCTCATAGAGGCCCAGTATATCTCCACAGTGTGAGACCCTTTGTACCGGGGCATTACCTAGCTGCTTTAAAAAACGTGGGCCTGTGTTTGGATGTACATGTCGAACACTGATCCGCCTATCCTGAAGGAACATCTAATAACCACCTGTGCACTGTAAACACACCCAAGGTTATGTTTGAACAACACCACTCTGTTATAAATCTGCTGTGCGGCGGCGTTACGGTGGCAGCAGCAGCTCTGGCTATGCACTTAAGTCCTGTGATCCATGGAGAAGAGCCGGTGTGTGTCATAGTGATGGATACAGTCATTACCATAACCCCTATGTGTGTGTTTTTGTGTGTGTGTGTGTGTGTGTGTGCGTACTGTCGCTCCACACGCCACTTAAAGACCACTTCACTTCGGAAAACATGCACGTGTCATTGGGTCGTGTGTGAAGATCAGGAACAGACAGATGCTATCTTTTTCATGGCTGAATACATGATAATTGCAATTGGTTGTAATTATCTAGTTTATGTTATTCAGGCTTATTCCTTTAAAAAATTTATTAGAATAATCCATTTTTGTTAGAATTAGATTTTGAATCTTTTTTGTGTTTTGTGGTATTATACTGTATGTAGCCCCTAAAATCGCCCACAGGAAGTTTTTCAATATGAAAACAAAACCTTCATGTGGCAGCGCACATTACAAGGACAGTAAAAGTAACACTCAAAACAAGATAAATTCATTACACACACATAACACAAAATTTAAGTTTCTGTCAGGGACTTTCATTCATCTCTCCCATACTACTGCAGACGTTTATGGTTCACTGATGCTGCTCCAGAGACCAATGCTCCACACCCATCAGAACAGCTGATTCCATCAGAGTCCACTCCAGAACAGCTGATTCCATCAGAGTCCACTCCAGAACAGCTGATTCCATCAGAGTCCACTCCAGAACAGCTGATTCCATCAGAGTCCACTCCAGAACAGCTGATTCCATCAGAGTCCACTCCAGAACAGCTGATTCCATCAGAGTCCACTCCAGAACAGCTGATTCCATCAGAGTCCACTCCCATCAGAACAGCTGATTCCATCAGAGTCCACTCCCATCAGAACAGCTGATTCCATCAGAGTCCACTCCCATCAGAACAGCTGATTCCATCAGAGTCCACTCCCATCAGAACAGCTGATTCCATCAGAGTCCACTCCCTTCAGAACAGCTGATTCCATCAGAACAGCTGATTCCATCGGAGTCGTGTCCTACGTTTATTTTTTATTTTATTGTATTGCGTTTTGGCCTGAGCATTGGCCTTTGAGCCTGAAGGTCGTGGGTTCAAGCCCACCACGAGCCATACTTCATAACTCTGATGTCTGCTGTCCTTGTGTCCTTGGGCAAGACACTTAACCCCACTTTACCTGAAGATCAAGGCTCCTGTGGACTCAGCACCTGCAGGGGGATCAGTGAGCGGCTGGTGCTATGTGTACTGGGTGGCATCTCTGAATGCCAACCCCCGACCCAGAAATGGACTAAGGGGTAGAACATGGATGGATGGATGGATGTATTGAGTTTGTTTGGATGTGTGTCTTAATGAACAGCAAAGCTGTAAATAAACCAGATTGGGGCTTTGGCTAATTTGCATCTGTTGTCCCACAGTCAAATTCACAAACACACACCCATTCACTCTGAAATATTGTAGATGTTTTTAGCAGCGGTAGAAACCGGAGCACCTGGAGGAAACCTAAGCAGAAAGGCTGACTTTGGAGGTGGGAACTGAACCAGGATTAACAGTGCAGCCCAGAACCTCAGCAGGTATATAAAGATCTTGTCCATATTGCAAAATAATTGCTGGCCAGAAAATGTGTATTTTCCTTAAACAAATCAGAAGTGATACATGAAATGCAATGGTGCATTTATAAATCCACACATCCACGGAAAAAACACCAATTCTGGGAGTTGTAGTTCATTTCTTGTCTAACACATTTTCTGGCTGACAACATTTGTTGTGTCTCTATAACAAAGTGATGCATTGTGGGCCAGTATTGACCATTGTGCTAATGATGTCCTCTGGGACGGGGACGCCACTCCAACAGTGATGGAGTGAAAGCATGTGGGGAGCCATATGGAGACTGAACTAGATTAGAAAGACACAGGAACTATGCCAAAACACGGCACATGCACTGAAATGTCTTATTATCGCCTCCTCATACCTTTCATAACTGTTTTCATACGATGCTGCAAGTACGGAAAGAACAGAGAGGCTGATTGGTGAAACCAGCAGTAAAATAAGCAAATAAAGAACAAGACCAGTTGTGTAAACATGAGAATGTTTCAAGAGAATGTTTTGTTCCAACATGAAGAAAGGCCAGGTCAGATATAATATACAGAATAAAAGAGCTCAAAACATCTAAATACTAAATAAAACTAAAACTCAACTCAATAAAGTGTTAAAAGTCACACAATAACATTTTCTCTGCCAAAGAAGATGTAGATCACGCGTTTATACGGAGACGACTGTAAAAATATATGGTTTGGTATCGGTTTGGCCTTCCTACAGAGTGGAAAAAAGTGTGAATTCTTTGCCTGCAATGACCTCAGCACTTTTCCGCACATACATTTCGACATTCGCAAAAGCTGAGAACAAACATAAACAATAATGGCGGCGGGTACACACAATAAACCATGATCTTGGCCTGAGGAGGATGTTGTTGGGGAGGTGGCTCTACTGCTGGGGATCATGTGTGTCTTGTTATATCGTTCCACAGCCCCCTACTGGCCGGGCGCTAGAACTACATTGTTTTCAGTACCTGTCGAAACGCTATGCAGGAATCCGGTCGTTTTTGTTAATTGCTTTGCAGCGTCTCCGCAGCGCCTCGGTCTAAACGGGGCATAATATGGCTCAGTATCTTACTGTGATGGTCATATTGGGGGTGCCAGATCCCTATAATTCTGTTGTGCTTTCAAGGATGAACAACAGCATAGTGTATCCCATCACAAAATAAGCTCTTATGTTAATTCAGTTGGTATAATGAGTACATGTTCAGTATCATAATGCTGCCGGCTTCATGTGCAAAGTCAGTGCTGCTCTAATTGAAGTTGGAAATCTCTCTTTTTAAAGTGCTGATTAACATAGCAGGTGGAGCACAGTTAGAATAAATGAATGGTGCCAAGTCTGTGCGGTGCGAAGTGTTCCAGGCACTTCTCTGAGATTATACAACCTGATCCATCTAAAGCACCACTCCGGCAATCTTTAGTCTGGATTATAAGAACCTTTTTTTGTCCCACAGTGGGGGAAGTTTCAGTGTTGCATCATAAGTTACAGATAGTTTGAATGAGGAACACACAAAATTACATTGTAAACTAGCCTTGGCTAAAAATGTTGTAGTGTTTCACATGTTGATTGTGTACACTTGTCTATCAAATAAATCTATAAATAAAACAAGACAAAGAAATATATTAAGTATATTAAGTAATCTACTGTAATATGTATTTATTTAGCACATTACTGCAGACCATGGTAAACCAAAACACAGCAACGTTCAGAGATCAGATAGTGTTAGAAGCGAGTCGCTGAACACACTGGTGCATCAAAGTCTCTGACCAAACACCATCCATTCACTCCATACATTTATACCTATTGTGCATCTTTCAGTAATAATAACTCTATACTAAAAATAAATTACAATAAACTCAGAGCAAAGTAGAGGAACAAGAAGCATTGCACCCTTGTTAGAATTGTTTATGTGCTGGAGAGAGGGATAAGGGGTCTCATGCACGGCATCCTGGACAAATCTAGACACCCTCTGCATGACTGAAAGAAACACTAGATATCCTTCCTGGGAATTATTTGTTCCTTCGGCTGTCAGACTGTACAACAAACCTGGATGAGTTAGAAATATGCACAATTGTTAGGTCGTTAGTTAGACATTTTTATAATTTATGTACTTTTGTGTTTATATGGATGGTTTTCTGCTGCTGGACACCTGAATTTCTTCTACAGAGGATCAATGAAGAATCTATCCATCTATTGCTGGTTTGCTTTTGGAGCAAAGGCACAGAGAATATTTCTGTCTTTTCATCATGAAACTATCTTTATCAATATCATTTCAGAACAAAGCCACTTAATGTCAATAAAAGATCAGATAAGAAACATGGTGGCAACCATATTTGGCAGACGCATACCTTTCCAAGAGAACGGTGTGTTGATCATGGAACAGGTGAGAAATGAGAACCTGTGAGTGATTGTCTTTCAGAATCCAAGAATCCAGCGACCGGCTCTGTTGGACCTGTCCGAAAGCACTGTGTCCGAATCCCAGCTTTGTCTGGGAACAGTTGTGCCACAAAGTCACTCCACCCATAATCTTCCTTTGCTCCAACTACATGCATTTTTCACCTTTAGAGTCCTCCAAATCCACAAAACGCATGAACCCTGTGTAAGTATTATAAATGCATTCAGAAATACAACATTTCTGAAGAGCAGACTGCATAAATCTGACAGTGACCCCGCCCTCGTTACCACTGACATCCAAATTCTTTTGAATTTGCGGTAAACATGTTTAGCAACGCCGCAGCTAGTTTTACACCGCTGATTGCTGAGGTTAAATGTATCCTTCCCAAATGTAAACTGTCACATGCCTGCTATAAATCATATCTCTAAGGTAGACGTCCGGGGTGTGTGGTTTGGTGGGGCCGAGGTGTAAAGTATCCCTCTGCCGCAAAGCCAGAGCGCGGCCTGTTTGATGTCAGGAGTTGGTAACATAGACCCGCCGTGTCTTCTGATTGGAGCATGTCCTGTTGATATCAATATACCCTCATGGAGACGCAGCTGCACAGGTTTCAGAGGAACAAGAGGCTAAATTTAGAGGTATGTTTGTAAGTGTGTCAGTTTTTATAACCTGGAAATGATGGACTTTTGACTAAAAAAGTAAACAAGGGAAATGAGTTTATCATTCTTTCAATAAACTATCAATACTGTTGTATTCAAACTAAAATAACTTTATAGGAGCTAATGGTTAAAACAGCTTTCAGTAGTCTGACTTCACTAAAAGTGCACTAGGTATATGTCTAAAAGTATCTATGTATATATTTAGACCCTTTGTACCCACATGTACAATACATCAGTTGGAAACATTTATGTTCTAACTGTACTTGGTCCCTTTTTCAATAAATAAATCTGCTCCAACCTTTTCACGATTAATTTAAGTTTACATTGAGTCAATTGTGTATTTCATGTCCAGTCAATTTTTCCTTTTCGCATTTTTGAGATTTAATACAACTCTCTTAACTTTTTGAACTATCTTGCAAAACATATAACCAAAACACAACCATTTGATGCGGTGTAAACTACCAAACATGTTTCCACAAGTCACATAAGAAAAGTGGTTAAAGTGAACCAGAGCAGGCGACCGAGTGGGGATAGAAACCTCCGACGCTGAAGTATTGGGTAGAGTTTTGTTGGTTGTCCAGTGCTGATCCCTGAGGCGCTGCTGACATTACACACAGCCGGAGTGCAATGTTCTGTCCTCCTTTTCTCACTGATGGATGATGGGACACGGGGCGAGCGGGGGGCAGCAGAGGGGGACCCGAGCCTCCAGTCTCCAGACATAAACTCAAACAGGATGCAAAGGATCAAATAACGCAACTGCATGTTGTGTTCACTTTCATTTTGTCTGCAGGAAATAAGACGTCTGTATACAGAATCAGATGCAGTGACTTTTGGGGTTTTAAACAATGCTTGCTGTCATCTCAAATGTCTTATTCTTTCTCTTTGCACGTTCTCCAAAAGACGACACATTGAAAGCGGATATTCTGTTCGCTAAGTTGTATTGGTTAAGAGCACACTGAAGAATATATATTGAAAGGAAAATGTAGGAAGTGATAATATATATCCATTTAATTTAACTTTGAATTAACTTTAATCATAGTCATAGGTGGAGGAACTATGTAATAAAAACGGTTTGGTTCCATCCCTGGTATTCACATGCAAGTATTGTATGTGCTGACAGAAAACAGAAACTCTCATCTCAAAGCTTAAAATAGTGACTAACAAGCCTTTTTCTTACAAATGTACAATAATATAGAGTTATATTAGATTGGATTTTAGGACATGCTTTCACTCTAACAA